GAGTTAAAAATAAATGGCAGTAAAACGTTGGGTCCAAAGATTAAAAAAAAAAATCTAAATAAGATTAGAATGAAGTGGTGCAATTTGGTTGTGGAAGGTTCTAGATTTAATATAGGATTAATAATAAATTAGGTGTGTTCGGCAACTTCTCAAAATGGGCTACGGTTGGAACCGATCCCATTTTGAGCAAATTTGTGTTGGGTCAAACCGAGTCAACATTAGCCCAGTTTTACTAATGCCAAATTTGACCCTTAAAACCGGTTTGTTTTGGACCACCTCCCTCTGGTCCCAAACAAAACCAGTTTAGTTGAAAACAAGATCAATGTCATCCATAGTCCCATTTTAGGGTGTTTGCCAAACACGCTCATGAAAAAAAGAAAAAAGAAAAAAAAAAGAAATGAAAGTTGGTTTAGGGCCTGTTTGGTTATATTCTATAAATAGTAGGAAATCAATTTTAGGTCCAGAACCAACTTTCCATGTGTTTCTGTGTATTTCTTAGAAATTATTATTTTTTGTTTGCTTCACTCAGAAAACTTGCAAAGAAAATACAATGTGCTAATTGCACTGCTTGGTTGAAAAAAAAAGAAACCAAAGTAAGTGATTTGTTTTACATCATATTTTTCTTGATTGGAATCAAAAAGTTGAACGCTGGAAACAAGTTTCACATGAGCAGTGGTGAGCTTAGCACAAAACATCTCACATATACAATTTTTGAACCCCAATGATGCAATGGCTATATAAGCAATCATATAGCAAACATATATCTATAAATGAAAGGCAAAATACAAGTTAAAGTTGATGCTGAATACACCCTTTGTTGCGCCCAGCGGAAATTTCGGCAGAGTTTCTGGTGCACAATAAGAGAGAAAGATCAATAAGAATTCTCGTCTCACCAAGGAAACAAGAATCTAAAGCGGATATCTCAACAAAGTGAGATATCGAATCTTCCTCTCATCAGTTCTAGGACTGACCTGTCGAGGGATCCTAAAAAACTATTACAATTGTTACAAACTCAAACAACCAATTTTACGTGGTTCGGCAAACTTCCTACGTCCACGGGGCAAGGAGGGAGTAGATCTACTAATAGAGGGAGAGAATACAACTAGGGTTTACAATCACTCTCAATCTAAACCCTCACACAAACTCTCAAATCCCTCACACAATTATCTCTCTCAAAAGAGAAGTACAAAACCCTAGAATAGCTGCACAAAACTCAAAAGAAAACCTCTGCTTTTCTTTTGCACACTGCAGCCGCGTGAAGAATCCCCAAGCCGAAACAATTCCTTGCCTTGCACCCTTGCACGCCCACAGCAAATCAAGCCTACTGCTCTTGCACACCTCTGCTTTGCGCTTGCTGCAGCCGTCCTTTTCTCCTGCTTTTTCCCCCACTTCGCACACATTAAACCCTAGAAAAATTAGGTATATATATAGGCTATAGCTTATTCGTTCGTGGGCCGCACAGCATCCGCACACACGAAGCCGCACATCATCCGCACCAAACATCACGTGGGTGGGGGCCCACTTCGTTCACAATTCTCCACCTCGGTAAAGTTTTCCCAAAACTGAGCCGACACCAACCAAATCAAATGTCTCACTTGCTGCTTATCAATCCTCAACAAGTCGGGACCCAAACGGGAGTACGAACACTCACCCAAACGTCGGTATCTACTCACCAAATCGATCTCACCCCCATCAAAATCCAACCCGGATGCATCATAAAGACTGCCTACGTATCCTCTTGCCTAAGGAATCAAGCCTCACGTAGTTCACCCAAATGGCCGCGAACGACCTCAATCCAATAGAAGAGTTCGCAACCCTTCTCTAATATCATCAACTCTGTGGCTGATAGCACCTCCAATGGCCTCAAACACCTCCACCTGAGGTGAACCAATGGTCATATCCAAACTACATCTATCAGCTACACTTGAATCAAAACCCAACTCATCATCCGCATCCGAATCCAAATAACTTCCACGCTGTGTCACCTCAGCTGGAATCCCAACCAATGCAGAATGACCTGGAGTATGTGGAAAAATCCCCACCCAATGTGGAGTAGCATCAGTCTCCACCTGCTGCGATACCTCTAAGGTCTGTCCAAAACTCTCCACCTGCTGAGAGTCAATTGGCTTCCTCATCGAAGCCTCAACCAAAGTGACACTACCAGACCTATCTTCCAATAGAGTTTTACCTCCAATCATAGCAGTTAACAACTCTTTAATAGGATGACCCAAATATGTCGAAGCCTCTGTCCAGAAACTCTTCTGCAAACCATTGCTCGACCACAAACACCGATTCTCCTCCAGAAAGGCACGGTTCTCCAAATTTGTCACCTTATCTAGTTGCCCCAAGATTTCCTTTCCAACGAAGTATCTCGCAATGCTGTGAGCTCGGCTCCAATGCAGAAACAGGTCCATATTGTACCTCCCACCGGAATGGAGTACCTTCACCTTTCTGCCAATATCACACTTCTTCAATCTGTTGGAGACTACTAGGACTTTACAACAAAGGAAACCAAACGCCTATTACCTCCCAATGATGCCCCCTTGGAAGGCCCCCAAACATCCACGTGAACTCCTCTAGAACGACCCTTAGCACGGTGAATAGAGGTGCCACACTTCACCTCGGTCTTCTTGCTCACATCAACATGTTCACTGGACTTCAAACTACAGGTCTTCGCACCCTCTTTCAATCTATGCGAGGAATCAATACTAGAATGGCCAAGCCCCAAATGTCGCAGTCTAGTCGAATCAACAGAAGTCGTCAGTTCTCCACCTGCCACTATACCTTCAGTCAAGTAATACAGGTTATTCCTCCTGACGCCCTTCATAACAATCCGAGAGTCTTCCACAATCTTGAGAACCACGTCCTCAATTCGAACATTCAGACCCTCTCCAACCAAAGCTCCAATTGAGATCAAGTTCTTCCTCAAAGAAGGAACTCATCTCACATCATTTAACTCCCTAACAGTCCCGTCAAACATCTTTATGCGAATTCTTCCTATCCTAAGGATCTGGCATGCACGGTTATCAGCCATGTACACCACACCACTATCCACCAGCTTCTCAAAACTGGAGAACCATTCCCTTCTAGGGCACACATGATAGGTCGCACCACTATCCAACATCCATTCAGATTCCTCCGAATAGCTATCTGTAGGACTGATAGAAAGCGAATAAATAGAAGAGTCAGAATTATTACCATCCGATACGATGTTTGCTTCTGATGATGGTTGCTTCCCTTTTCCCTTCTGCTTATTCTTAATCCATTCGTCGAGCTTTGGATAATCTTTCTTCTAATGACCAGTCTCCTTACACCAAGCACACTGATCTTTTCTAATTGTAGGATGTCCTACTCTAGACTGTGCTCCTTACACCAAGCACACTGATCTTTTCTAATTGTAGGATGTCCTACTCTAGACTGTGACTTCCAATTCTTCTGGTTTGGACCCTTCCCTCTTGCGACCAACGCCTCCGCTACCGACTCAACTGAAGCCTCCTTATCCTTCTTTCGAAGCTGATAATTCACAAGTGCAGCGGTGACCTCACTATACGAAAGGGTTGCCTTCCCATTAATAAGAGTAAGGACGAATGTCTCATATTCCTCGTCTGGTAAGGAACTCAACAGCAACAACGCCTTGTCCTCATCTTCAATCTTGACATCCACATTCGCCAAATTCGCAAGAAGCTTCGTGTAGTGGTTCATGTGATCTCTAATGGAGGTTTCCTTCTTCAATTGGAAACGATAAAGCCTCCTCTTCAAATGCAAGCGATTTTCCACACTCTTGGTCAAATACTTGCTTTCGAGAATCTCCCAAATCTTCTTCGCAGAAGTCTCATTCATCACATCATATTTTAGATCTTGAGTCAAACAAGACCTAATTACACCACACGCCGTTCGATTTATCTTTTTTCAAACCTTCTCTTCAATCTCATCTGGCTTGCCATCTAACTCCAATGTATCCTTCAAATTCTGCGCGTTCAGCGCATCCAAAACCTCGCATCTCCATAATCCAAAGTTGTTTGTGCTATTAAATTTCTCCACATCTATCTTCATAGAGTGGATATTCAAACTCTGAATGGTCTTCGCGTCAGAAGCACCACCCTCGATACCCGAAGCACCTTCTTTCCCCGACATCTTTCTCAACACACCAACGAACGAAGAATAGATCCAAAACTAAAAAGATAGAGTCTTTTACCAAAAGATCCCACCTTTATCACCAAATGAAGTCCTAGACGAGCCTCCAAATTGATCTACTCCTCCAAATAGCCCAAGCGTAGCCCGATCTCTGATACCACTTGTTGTGCCCAGCGGAAATTTCGGCAGAGTTTCTGGTGCACAATAAGAGAGAAAGATCAATAAGAATTCTCGTCTCACCAAGGAAATAAGAATCTGAAGCGGATATCTCAACAAAGTGAGATATCGGCTCTTCCTCTCATCAGTTCTAGGACTGACCTGTCGAGGGATCCTAAAAAACTATTACAATGGCCACAAACTCAAACACCAATTTTACGTGGTTCGGCAAACTGCCTACGTCCACGGGACAAGGAGGGGGTAGATCTACTAATAGAGGGAGAGAATACAACTAGGGTTTACACCCTTCAGTTGCTTATGGTCCCCCCTCTACACAATCTGAAATTGGTTACAGCTCAATTCCAAAGTGAATGTCATTGCAATATCTCAACTCTTTTAATGACCTGCAAACATGACAAGGGAAAAGTTTCTGGAGGACGTGCAACATACCCCAAGAGAAAATATAAAATTTTTGTGCATGGGCTAATGAAGATGGGGTTAGGAAATAAGGCTTCTACCATGCTAAAATGACAATGCATCATGGCCATAAAAGAGAGCTTTAAACATTAGAATTATTATTAGATTGCTTAAATGAGTTTACTTTTGGTCATGCTCATTTAAATTATCAGATGAGTTCTGCGCCTAGAGCTTTTTGAGTCCTAAGCGAACAGCAGTGAATACAATTCTGCTTGTTTTTGCTTGTAATGCAGGGAGGAGCATGGTGTAATGATGAGCTCTCATGTTATCTTAGATCAAAGACTGCGTATGGGTCCTCTCTATATATGGGCAGCTGGAATTTCTCTGGCATTCTCAGCAATGATCCCAACATGAACCCTGGTTTGTCATTTTCTAATTGTTTTATCGGATTCCATATTTACATTATTTTTAATTTAGAATTAAAATTCAAAAGCAACCATCTATCTTTACATTATAATTGATGTGGGGAATGTTTATAATTTTAGTTTCTTTGAACAGACTTTTACAACTGGAATCGTGTATTTCTTCGGTATTGTGATGGTGCTTCGTTTGCTGGCAATTCGGAGTACAGAAACGGGGTAAGCCCCATCAAGCAGTCCACAAATTTTTTTTATGATTAACAAATTTGTATGATTGTCAATTGTTTTTTAACGTCTCGTAGCATAAATGAAGTTGGGTTGAGTCAAATTTGAGAAATATCAAAGGATTAAAATTGAATGATTTTAAGGTTGCATGCTATCTTGATTGTCAACTTTCTAATATAGGCTAGTGTCGACTTTCTAGCAAGCAAATGTTTTTTGAGTATGATATGACTGTCGGAAGTTCATTTGTGAGACTAAGCTTTTTTGTTAAAAGACTTAACTAAGGAGTTTTACTTTGGTTTTTCCCTTGAAAACTATTAAACTGATTGGAGGAATTACACAATATACATGATTCGTTAAGTGCGATCCTTTTGATTCAGAAGTTTATTCCTGTTATGCTTCCTGTATTTATCTGACACTTGATTTTGTTTTATTTCTCAGACAAAGAGGCTCTACTTTAGAGGGCTCAGGATATGGGATGCCATCGTTCATGACCTTTTCCCTGAAGGGCTACAACATGCAGAAAAGGTATAGTTCTAACTTTAATTAACAAATTGCGATTCCCTGTTGAAGTTCCATAGAATTTTTCTCTCGCATGCTGCTAACTTAATTGTGTTTTTTTGAAATGGGTCGATCGAGTCATAGGAGAAACTTCAAAGGTATTGTCTCAGTTGTGTCCTTAAATGAAACGTAGAAGCTGCTCCAAATCCAAAGAGTATTAGGCATATCTTGGTTATTTCTCAACTAGGCTCACTGAAAACGAAGGGATTCATAAAAATAAGTAACATCACCATCTCTTGTTAGATAAAATTTAAATTCATTGGTCACAGGTTTATCATAGTATGTGATCTTGTGAGTGCACCGTAGGTTCAAACCATTTGCTTAGAATGCTTCTGTATATGCGTCTCCGGGTGTTCTTTTATCATTTCGTCCGACAAGAAAAGTTCTTCTAATTCTACGAAATTTTCTAGAACATTTTTCTCTTGGGTATCATTCAAAAAAGTTTTGAATTGTCTACTATTCCACCAATTAATAACCCAAAGTTCTAGATCTTTTTGAAAGGAGAGAGAGAGATCAACCATGGCAAAAATACTTAGATGCAAAATATGGGAGGGAAGTCGATGCTTTCTTTTTTTTTTCATTTTTTATTTGTGCATTGTTAATGAACTGTTTCATTTATCAACTCTATTTGATATGATGTTTCTCTAAAGCACAAGTTCTGTAACAAGGTATCGAACCTGTGGATCTATTCCCATTTTTGTATATTCGTTAAAATAATTTAGTCCTTAGATCTAGAAGGAATATAGAAATATTATAAGTATAATTATAATTTTTCATGATATATTAATTTCTAGTTCTGTAATACAGAATTCAATATATATTTTTTATCATAATTGATGGTTTGCATTTCAATTATTCTCTTTTGAAACAAGTAATTTAACTCATGTAAATTATGTTGCTTTTTCCAACACATTAGGCACTTCTTTCTGGATGTTCAGCTGGAGGGCTAGCTACTTTTCTCCACTGTGACAATTTTTCTCAGCTTTTTCCTGAGACAACCATTGTAAAATGCATGAGCGATGCAGGGTTTTTCCTTGATGTGTAAGTGCTAATACTCCTGCATTTCTATAACTATTTCATATAATTTTTGTTTCAAAAACCTTTAATAATTTTAATCATATTAGTTTGACAATTTTCACTTTTAATATTGTCTAGGAAGGACAAATCTGGCTATAACAATATAAGGCACTTTTTCCGCAGTCTTGTTAAATTTCAGGTCAGTTTCCTATATTACAGTTTTAACTCCCTTTATATTGTCAATTATTTATAAAGACAATTCTTGCAGGGAGTAGAACAATCTCTGAGTGAAAAATGTGTAAATTCTCACCATGATCCCTACCTGGTATAACCATCCATTTTCTTATATATTTCTTAATCATTATTTACAAGGAATATTCATTCTGAAACTTTAATTTATGTCTAATTTGTGCAGTGTTTCTTTCCGCAACATGCATTAAAACATATAAGAATACCGTATTTTGTATTGAACTCAGCATATGATGTGACCCAGGTACTTCGGTGTTTGTTAAAATAAATATTAAATATGTTGAAGGAAATGATAATGTTCTTTCTTTGATAGAAAAATGACTACGTCTTAATACTCTTTTGCATGCTGAACAGGTTGATAATATATTTGTTCCCCTTTCTTCTGATCCGTGTGGGCACTGGAAAAATTGCAAGTTAAACTACACAATGTGTACTCCGAATGAGATCAATATCCTGCAAGGTCACGGATCCTATCACTTTCTAATTTCCGATTTCATGCAATGTTAACTGTAAGATATTGGTTATATACTTTTGGTGTGTTAGCATGTTTTTCTTTATAGCTCTTAATTATGAAAAATCAACTTAAATATTCCATCATTGGGTTTATAGTTATTTTTTCGGTTAAATTTCTTCTCCTTTATAAATATTCCATCGTTTCTGAATGAAATTTCATGTCTCAAAACACAGAGCATATTGTTTCTTTCGTAGTGTTAAATTTCTTTATTATTTGGAGAGCTTCATGATAAATTAACAGAGAAGTGAATACATTATAAGGGATATAAACATATACAAATACACAAAAACTTGTGCATATATGTGTTGAACTTGATTAATATTGTTTTCGTCTTACAAGTCCAGTTTATGAGTTACCTTACTAGCTAGTTTCTATGGTAAATATTAAGTTACTAATTTACAGGATATAGGTCACAAATGCTGAAAGCTCTTAGATCAACTAAGTTCTTGGAAAATGGTGGTGGAATGTTCATAAACTCTTGCTTTTCCCATTGCCAGAGTGAAGAACAGTATAGCTGGTTTGCACCATTATCCCCAAAAGTGCACAATAAGGTACTGCAGCATTACAAACGAAGCACATATATCAAATATAAGCATATTTGTTTATCCCTAAAACAATTTAATTTATGCGTAATCTTTTAAAGCAGTTTGCAATTGGTGTTGCAGACTATCGCAGTGGCCGTCGGAGATTGGTACTTTGGGAGGGAAGTCAGTGTGGAAGTAGATTGCCCATATCCTTGTAACCCTACTTGTCTTAAACCCAACTCTCTAATTCAGGTATTGGCTTCAATACTATGCGTAAATTTGTGCTAGTTCTAAATACAGTATTTGCACCAAAAGTAATTGTTAATCTCAGGGTTTTTTTTTTTTTGTTAATAAAACTATGTTAATTACTGTAGTTAGAAGATACACACGTGCACAGATAATTGTCCAAAATCCAAACGCAGCGACAGGACTGTTTTGCCCGCGTGTTTTTTCTAGATGTGTTATAATTAACTTATAAAGTATATGTATATACTTTATAACCCTAGTTGGTTTATTTTCCGCTTATAATATATATGTTTTAATTGCTTTCGAATAAGTTCTCTTAAGAAAACTGGTGGAGCCTAAACCTAATTTTCAGGTGTTCATATGAAAGTTGTTAATGAATTTCCTCAAAGAGAAATTTCTTAATGGATTAGTTCGTATGTCGCTAAATCACTTTTTACCTAAAACTTTAATCTTTGGGTAGTAATAAACTAAGCTAGAAGAGCTAATTTTTAATTAGTCCATACTTACTTATCTGCTTTTAAGTTATTAACACTGTGGTTACTAATTAAACATTTGCCATACATGTAGATTGTTGACCTACAAGGACGAGCGCAGAATTTAAACGTAACCGAGAAGAATCCCCACAAGAAAAATTCATGCTCGCACTAACGTGAATCTGGTAGCCATGATTCTTCGAAGGAAGAAGATGACTAGAATTTCTAGGAGTTTCGGAAATTATATATCATCCAGTTTATAAGAAATAACCATGGACCTTTTTTTTTTGTTATTGTTGTTATTATTTGAATGTATTTAAGTTGCGTAAAGATTCTAAACTTTTTATGTACATACATTTTTTGTCGTAATTAAATTTGGTTTGTACGTGCCAGACTTTTTGTGTTGCTCCAGAGCCCGAGTTAGAAGAATAAATGGTCTCTGTCTGCACATAATTCGTAATGTTTGCTTGAGTTTGGATCCCCTGTTGGGTTTATTCTTGTGCTTGGCCAAAAAGTTATGATTATTAGACTGGACATTGAAAATGAGGGAGATAAATTGTCACTTTTAAAATATTAGGTAATTTTATATTGATCATGCAAATCTTACGGGTATTTTTGCAAATTACCCTTTATGTTATCACTTTTTTGTCATCTGCGTAATGTACGGAAATTCAAGAGAGATGCTTGGGTGGTTAATGATTGATCTTGGGAAGAAGAAAAACGAGAAAAGAGGGAAGAGAGTAAGGGGTGTTTGGTTCCGATTTTTTTAGGGTGAAAGTAGGGGAAAGCCTGTCATAGTGTCCCATCTGTGGCAGGTTTCACCCCAAATCGCCCCAAAAAAAAGCGTTTTGGGGTGAAACCTGCCACATTTCTGACACTGTGACAGGAATTCACCGATAAAAAAATTGGAACCAAACGTGCCCTAAGTAAACCCATAAGGTTGGCAATTTTATGAAAATATCAACAATCATTAGAATATTTTTAAAAACCACAAGTTATCTATTAGAGACAATACCACAAAATTTTTACTAAAACTGTTGCGATTGGCATGCATCTATGTAAATATGTTACGTGATTTGATCATTCTCTAAGAAGGTTTATTTAGACTAAAAGCTTAAGATACATCATCAAATAAAAAAAATTTAAAAGACAAATAATAACTCATAATATTTTATTAAATTTAGCATTAAAAATCCATACGTTTTGCCTGTAGGAGAGCATAAAAATATCTATATCCGAGAAAATATATGTACCTTTATTTGTAAATATCATTGCTAAAATCTTCATCCGATAGGACACAATTACAGATATGGACATGTAGTAAATATCAATATCTGTATCTAGAATGTCCGCAAATGTGTCATACAATTGTAAAATTTTTAATGCTTTAAATTAGTAGATTTGAGGTTAATTTTGATAATCAAGAGATCTCAGCTTTTTCTAAATATATCGAACATGTCAATAAAATCTCGTATCATATGAACCATATTTTTTTAAATATTACCTAGTTTTTTATATCTCTTTTACATCCGCTTACATGTCTGCATAAATATTCGTATTCATATGATTATCTTATCGAGGCGTATCTATATTCATAACACATATTCATGATTGACCAACGGATATGGATATGATAAGTATCTAATCGGCTCGGTTCTTGGGCTTCTAGGGCACCATTAAAACCGGATTCCAAACCCGACCCGTTATCTCTCTCCTCACCATCAAGTACTCGACGAGGGTTTTGTCTTTTGAAGAATCGCCTCTGTGCTCTGCTCTCAAATCGATCCGACAATGGCTAAAGACCGCGACGAGAGCGAGAACGAAGTCAGCGATGAAGAGATTGCATTCTCCTCCGAAGAGGTCGTTCTCTCTCTCACAGACTCTTATCTTTCTCTCTTTCTAGTCAAAACCCTAACTTTACTTTAATGGCAGGAGAAGGAGATAGAGAGAAAGCTCGCCGACATCCCGTTCGAGGAGCTGCAGAGAGCGAGGTCCGATGGTTCCCGCATCGCCCGTCCTGTACGCGGGGCCCACAAGCAGCAGCTTGGACGAGCTAACAAGAACAGGTGAGGGTTGTTGATTCTGAATTTTGTAGATTGGGGTTTTGGTGTAATTTTTGGAAATTTTTGGGGGAAATTGGAAAAGGCCTTCGGAGTTGAGTTGCAAGGTGCCAGTTGGGAGGTTTAGAGACGTTATCCAAGCACCGAAGAAGGTTAGTAGTTCTGGTAATTTCTTCTTATTTTTTTTTAATTTGTTTATTGTTGGAAGTGTTTTGTAAAAAAAAAGGAGCGATTTTTATGGTCAACTTTCAAAAAAGTTGAGTTCTTGGCATTGTTTTTATGCAGTTTTGCCTTTCACTCTTATTGTAAAAATTTAGTTTAATATGCTCATCGGAGACTGCCTTAAGAATATGAACATTTTACGGCCATATGTGGGAGGACTTTGATCCCCTGTTGAGTCTCTTGGTTGTGCTTCTGGTCATGAGGAACCTGAAATGAGATTGAAGAGAGTTTGCAAGATAGAGTTGAGAGAGAATTGAGGAAGAATTGATGATTGTGATTGAGTTTGAGAAGAGGAAAACAATTCTATTTCATTCATAATGATCTCAGTTTACATCCTCTCCTTTATACTCCAGCTCCAAGCAAATAAAACAAAAAACGTGCACAAAACGTGCACAGACTTAACAAACACGGAAACAGTCAGAAACAGTCTTTAACTGTTTGTAACAGACTTCCAAACATTTATTACAATGTCCCTGAACTTTAAAGAGTTGCATAACAGCCCTCCACTTGTTTTGTAGTTCAGTCCTCTTCCAAGCATCTAGGTCCTCCAGCGCAACGTCTTCGGGCAGTATTCAGCTTCAAAGTCTTCAGACTCTTGATAGTCGACTAATGGCTCTTGATAGTCGACTAATTCAGGTTGATAGTTGACTGGTTGTTAGCTTCAGTCGACTGATTGCTAAGTCGACTTGCTAACTGAATCTTCAGTCGCTAACAGCCTTGACAATTCCCTTCCCTTTAAATTGGACCTTGTCTCAAGGTCAAATTCAGGAAACCCCTTGACGAGATCCCAGTAAGATTCCTAGATAGAATCCAAAGGAGATCGTTGCTTCCATTTGATTAGAACTTGTGACACCAATCTCTTCCCTTGAACCACTGATTGCCTGTCTAAGATCTCCTCTGGTTCATCAACCAATTCTACAACATAGCTAGGAGGATCATTTTGAAGGACATCAGTACCTATCCTCTTCTTAAGTTGGGAAACATGAAAAACAAGATGAATCTGTGTATTGTCAGGAAGGGCCAACTTGTAGGCAACTTCACCAATTTTTTCTAAAACCTGGTAAGGGCCATAATATTTAGGAGAAAACTTATGAGTTTTGTAGGAAGAGATAATCAGTTGTCTGTAAGGCTGAAGCTTAAGAAATACCCAATCTCCAACATCAAAACTCCTATGGCTCCTATGCGTGTCAGCAAACCTCTTCATTTGTTCTGCTGTCTTTTTCAAACTGTCCTTTAGAAATTGTAAAGATATGTCTCTGGAAAAAGAGTTGCATCCACAGATTCCACCTTATAACTTTTGGGAATATAAGATAGCAAGGATAGAGGGGCCCGACCATACGCTGCTTCAAATGGAGTAGTGTTGGTAGAAACTTTTCATGTAGTGTTATACCAAAACTCAGCAAGTGGCAACCATTTACACCATTCCTTTGGCTTGTGGCAACAAAAACACCTAAGACAGAATTCAAGATTTTTATTAGTTATTTCAGTTTGTCCATTAGTTTAGGGATGATATGCTGAGCTGAATTTGAGCTGGCTTCCCTGCAATTTGACGAGCTCCTTCCAAAACAAACTGGTAAATAAAGGGTCTCTGTCACTAACTATAGATTTAGTCATTCCATAAAGTTTGAATACCCCTTCAAAGAACACCTGGGCTACAGATTGAGCAGTGTAAGGATGTGCCAAGGCAAAGAAATGGGCATACTTTGATAACCTATCAACCACAACAAATATCACAGATTGGGTTCCACTCCTTGGCAAATTTATGGTAAAATCCATAGATAAATCCTCCCAGATATACTCTGGAATAGACAATGGTTGTTGGAGTCTTGGAGATGCAACATTCTCTCCCTTGGCCCTTTGACAGGTATCATAAGCTTGGACATATAATTGAACATTTTTTTTCATTCCCTTCCAGTAAAAAACCCTCCTCAATCTGTGTAATGTCTGGTAATTCCAGAATGTCCCGCAGAAGGACTATCATGATGTTCTTTCAATAAAGAGGTTTTCAAATCTTGAGCATTAGGACTAAATAATATTCTGCCCTTATAATAGTAAATACCCACTTTCCTGGAATACTCCTCAGTGCTCAGTTGCCCTTATTGTAGCTTCTCATCAAGCTCCTAGAAGAAAACATGCTCAGAACACATGACTTGGATCTCTTTCAATCGATCACTACTGACAATAGAAATGGCTGAAATTTCCACTTTATCTTCATGTATTCTGGACAACCCATTTGCAGCCTTATTCATTCTTCCTGGCTTGTATTCCACAATGTAATCATAACCATGTAGCTTAGCAAGCCATTTGTTCTAAATTCCTGTATGAATTCTTTGCTTCAAAATATATTTAAGACTTTGATGGTCAGTTCTTATCACAAAGCTTCTACCAAGCAAATATTGTTGTCACCTTCTAGTTGAGAGAATTATAGCTAGTAGTTCTTTCTCATAAAATGATAGTGTGGCATTTTTTCCCTTCAATGCAAAACTGAAATAAGTTATGGGTCTCTCTCTTTGCATCAACACAGCCCCAATCCAGGTTCCAGATGCATCACACTCTATTACAAATGTTATATTAAAATGAGGCATAGCTAGGACCAATTTTATCGAGGCGCAAGGCGCAATGCAGGACGCAAATGTCCCTTATGCATACCATGCGCAAGGCGCACAATGATGTGTGCGTCTCATTGAATTGAGACGCACAACTCAAACTAATATTTTTTAACATAAGACAAAGAAGCATATAAACATGTTTATAAATTGTCATATAAAAACACTAAGAAATATAATTTCACCTACTAAATCACGAAAGAGTCTTAATTAGCATGCATAAAATAGAGAAGTTCATAAGTTTTCTGATACGAGTCGTCATGCGAGCACCTTTGATCGCAGAATTATCAAAGGTGGGTTGAGAAGAAAATAACAAGAACACAAGAATAATTTAGTGGTGACGAAGGAAAATACATTTTCTAGACTATGAAAATAAAATGGTTTATAATCTCTCACAATCTCACTAGAATTGAAGAATAATCTCTCTCAATTCTTAAATACAATCTAATCTCTCTTGATTGCTTTCTCTTTTTTTTAAAACCCTAAAACAATCCCTTATATAGGTGTAACAACGGGGATGGTAAAGTGATAAATAACCAACAAGAATTCGTGCAACAGAAACCCAAACAAACCAGGAAATCGTCGATGAGTCAACTCATAAACATGCATGATGAGTCGACTCATGATGAGGTGAGTCGACTCATTAGAAACTTTTGACAAAACGGCTGGGTTTCGTGAATCGACTTATGACAGGCATGAGTCGACTCAATCTGATGAGTCGACTCATGTACATGTATGAGTCGACTCACGGGCTGAAAACTGGATGCTTCAATTCTTCGATTCGTCGTCTCGTTTCACGCTTTAACCTGTGTTTTACTGTGTTGTTTTACCCTCTATTCTTAAGTTACCATAAGAATCATCTATCCTCAAACTCTCATGAGGATCGTTAAGTTCCGAAGAGAATATACACCCGTATCATGACTCCCTTTTAGAAAGTTGAAGTCTTGTTCAAGTTAGAACTTCAGCTAAGGAAACTCGCGAGCTCCTCCTTCCCTGTTGAACCACTTAGCCTTGCTAGAAACCTGACATTGACGTCTAATGAGAAACGACTCCTTCGTCTCCCGCCTCGTCATTGTCGTCTTCCGTTCCAAAATGCAATCTTTCTTCCGCGGCTCCTCTCTATCAAATCACAAATCTTCAACATGCGGTAAGATCACCTTGTCGTCACCTTCATCATCCAGCAATGGAGGCTCGAACAACTTCAAATACTCGGCATTGATCACCGAATACATGCCTAAGTAAGGTGGTAAATCCAGCCTGAAGGCGTTGTCACCAATCTGATCGAGAATCCGAAACGGACCATAACGTATAGGTTTTAACTTCTTCCCTTCTCCCTTTAGCCTCACCTTACTTAATTTCAGTCATACCATGTCGCCTATGCCAAAGTTATAAGGAACTCGATGCTGATCATGCTTCGTCTTGTACTTGGCTTGTGATTTTTTCAATTGAGCTTCAACCGTGGCATGAATATGTGCAATCTTATCCAAAAATCGCTGAGCACGTTGTCTCTCACTCTCTTCCTTGCCGTCGGTCATAGATTCACTGGAAAACACGAGATCAAACAGATTCGGAGGTAAAAACCCATAACAAGCCTCAAACGGTGATTTCCCCGAAGATCCATGAATAGCCCGATTAAATGCAAACTGAAGATATGGTGGTAAGCTCTCATCCCAAGTCTTGGGATGCTTGGAATTGTATCCTCTCAACATATGTACCATAGTCCGATTAACTACCTCTGTTTGTTCATCGGTTTGTGGATGAAAGACCGTGCTCTTCTTCAACCTAGTGTTCATCAAGCTCCACAAAGAATCCCAAAAGTGTCCGAGAAACCGGCTATCTTGATCTGAAATAATCGAATTAAGCAACTCAAAGCGCCTCCACACATGCTTAAAGAACAATTGCATCGCACCCGCTCCTGTCACGGTCTTCTTACAAGGAATCAAGATGACCATCTTGCTGAATCGGTCCATCACAACGAACAAATAATCATTCCCGTGCTTAGTCGTCGGTAATCCTCCTAAGAAATCTATAGAAATACTCTCCCACGATCTCGACAGTACCGACAATGGTAGATACAATCCCCTTTTCTTATTAGAAAGTTTCGATATGCAATATAGCTTACACCTTCCAACATACTTAGTGACATCCTCTAACATCTTTGGTCAAAAGACATGGTGTCGTAGATTGAGAAGCGTCTTCTGAATCCCAAAATGATCTTGCACACGTGATGTATGGGCTTCTCGAATCCATTGCAATCGGTCGTCATTCTTCGGAATACATAGCAACGTCCCTCGATACAACAAACCGTTTGTACCAATCTCATA